GTGAGTGAATAAAAACATTCTAATTCAAATTCTTAGGGATTTCAATTATGATTTCTATTGTAAACCTAAGTCTTCCAGAGATAAGTTAGTTTAGTGGAATATTCCACTAGGTTGCTTGGAACCTTGTGTTTGTAAAATCTCTTCAATTTAATGTCATTTTTAATTATAAAAAAAAGTTGATCATTTATTAAAAATTAGGGTAAAATACAAAAACCTCCTCTATAGTTTCACTTTAACAAATACCTCCCTTGAACTTTTGAGAAACTTGACAACATTAGACTAATGCACCATTTTCCAAATACCAATTCTACCCTTTTATAAATTATTTTACATATAACATTACTAAAATAACCCTGTTTTAACTCAACAAAAACGTTAGAGAACGACCATTAAAGGAGGTTTTTGTTAAATTAAAACATGATTATTTAAGTATTTTTGTATGTAAAATAATTTGTAAAATGGTAGAATGGGCATTTGAAAAAAAAAACCATGCATCAATCTAATGTTTTCTATCTAGGAAGGTGATGGAAGGGAGGTTTTTGTCGAGTTTCTCAAAAGTTCAGGGGAGGTATTTGTTAAAGCAAAACTATAGGGGAGGTTTTTATGATTGTCAGAAAACTTCAGAGAAGGTTTATGTATTTTACCCTATGCACCGTAAAATCTTCAAACCATATTTAAAATTGAAAATTTTTACCCATTTGGCTAAGTATTAGTTTAGCCACATGCTTAAACGCGAAACCTTCAAGACTAGGACTATCTAGACTTTATGACTTGAGTAGTCTTGAGTTGTGAGGCCCAATCTAGGCCATGCTTTGACCAAACTTATAGTTGGGCTGGCATGTAAATTTAGGCCCAACCAGTAGTGTTAGGATCCAATTTTGAGCCCATTGAAGAGAGAGAGAGAGAGAGAGAGAGATTTATAAAAGTAATTTTATGAAAGTGTTAGGATCCAATTTTGGCTTCAATCAAAACTGAAGCCACCATAAAATCACTTTTATGAAAGTACTTTTACGATAACACTTTTATAAAAAAACACTTACAAAAGCACTTTTATAAAAGTAGTTTTATGAAAAGCATTTTTACAAGAGCACTTTATAAAAATACTTTTACAAAAGCATTTTTTCAAAGTACTTTTATGAAGCACTTTTACATAAGTAGTTTTATAAAAGCACCTTTACAAAACCACTTTTACAAAAGTACTTTTACACAAAAGCACTTTTGTGAAATCACTTTTACAGAAGTACTCTTATAAAAGTACTTTTATGAAAGCACTTTTATAAAAGCACCTTTATGAAACAACTTTTACGAAAGCACATTTACAAAAGTACTTTTATGAACACTTTTATAAAAACACTTCTGCGAAAGTACTTTTATGAAAGTATTTTTACGAAAGCATTTTTACAAAAGCACTTTTACGAAAGTACTTTTATGGAAGTATTTTTATAAAAACACTTTTACAAATCACTTCTACAACAGTACTTTTATAAAAGTATATGGAAGTACTTTTCTAAAAGTGCTTTAACAAAAGCACTTTTACGAAGTACTTTCAATAAAGTGCTTTTGTAAAAGCACTTTTATGAAAAACATTTTTTCAAAAGTGTTTTTTCATTTCCAAAAGTGATTTATATTTAATTTGATTTGAATTGGATCCAATCCAATCCATTTACATTTTAATGGATTGGATTGGATTTGGTTTGTATTGGATTTGGACCGGTTTGGGTCCAATCCATTTGTAAGTGAACTCACATTGGACTGGATCGGGTTAGGCCAAATCTAGTCCAGTTAACACCTCTACTTTTTGAGGATGATAAATACATCATTAAAGTAACTAGTAATTTTAATTACAATTCATTATTAATTAAAAGAGAGATAAATACATCCAACTAAACACTCCATGAAATTTCAGATACAATTTATTTAACTCATTCAAAACAATCAACAAAATATCAAATTTGTCCTCAAAATTCAAATCTGAAAACATTACTACGAAGGGACAAAATTTGTCCAACTAAAATTCCTGAAATTTTTAGGGGTTATTGGTACTTTTTAAAGTAACTAGTAATTAAGCACATGTGTTGCACGTGAGAAAAATTTTTTCATATTAGTTACTTGAATTTTAGATATATCATAATTAAGATAGAAATTGAAAATTAACAAAAGTAACAATATGATTAAAATTAAACTTAAATATTTGTTATTCAATTATGACATCATGGGTTTCTTAGAAAAGTTGGATCATTGACCCACCATTTAGATAAGAAAATAGCATTGCTTTGTTTTAAATTAGGAAAAATTATAGTCAAAGCCGGTTGTACATTTAAAATCAGGCTACAAGTTGGTCCATAAACCAACATAACTTTGACAACCAGCTCTAAATTTCAAATTATAAAAACCCTCACCATGTCACCAGAGGCTTATGTGGCTGTTGCCAACATGGGACTCTTAATCCATGTTGGACACAACAAAAAGCTTATACTGAAATTGCCCTTTAATGTTGGGTGATTGGAAAAAAAAAAAAGGTTTTTAGTCTCTCTCTCTCTCTCTCTCTCTCACACACACACACACACACACACACACACACAACATCTCACTCACAGTCATCTTTATCTACTCAACACTATGTGATTTGAAAATAAATAAAAATGGTTTTTGGTTTCTGTGCTTACATTTTTTATATCAATTTCTCTCATTCTCTATCTCTACCTATCATTCTCCCTCAATCTCTTTCATTCTCTTTCCTAGTCAATCTCTCATTCTCCCTTAATTTCTATCATTCTTCTTCATTTTTTTCTTTCTCCCTCTCTCATTTGTTTTAATTTCTTACACACTTTTATGGTATTAATCAGATCGTATAAAAGAATATGAGACCAACTTAGTATGGTTCAAAAATTATTATATCGATTTGATAAAAATCCACAATAAAGTCTTGGATATGAAATTTATGTCAACTGTAGAATGATAGAGATTGAGAGAGAAAGAGATATTGGCTGAGAGGGTGAGTGGGGAAGAAGAATGAGAAAGATTGAGGGAGAACAATAGAGCGAGAGAGAGAGAGAGAGAGGTTTGATTTCGCTATCGACCAAATATGAGAGAGTGGGAGAGACAGAGAGAGCAAGAGGTCGAGAGATGATTGTGAGAGTGAGAGAGAAGGGAGGGAGATCAAGAGACAAAAGAAGTGGGAGAGAAACTGAAAACCTATTTTCGGTATAGGTTTTTTTTTGTGTCCAACATGGACTAAAAGTCCCATGTTGGAAACAACAACATAAGCCTTTGATGGCATGGCAGAGGTTTTTATAATTTGAAATGTAGAGCCAGTTGTCAGAGTTATGTTGGTTTCTGGACCAACCCACAATCTAATTTTAAATGTACAGCCGATTTTGACTATAATTTTTCCTTTAAATTATATATTTCATTTATATTATATAAAATATTTTTTACTTTTCACATTTAATTTTTGTTTGTTTATGGTACCGTTTAACTAAAACCACTAATCCATCATCTAAAAATAAAAAAATGTTTGATTTCTAGGTTGACATTAAATTTTGTATTACATTTCCATCATTGCTAAAATTATTTATTATGTATAAAACTTACTTTTTTTAATATAATGAATGCACAATATTAGAGATATACCCAATATTTTATTTTTTATAAATATATAACATTAGATATGTGCCCAATATTTTCAAAATATTTATTTTTATACTATTAAAATTAATATTGTAGGTTTAATTACAAGAATTTAATGATGAGAAAAATATATCTTAAATATAGAATTTAATGACAGAGAATAGGAAAGTATTTTTATTTCTAATTGGCTTTAAATTTTACATCCATTTCCATCATTAATAAAAACATTTCTTATTTATCATAGTTATTGTTGTTTAATCGTGGCAACATGTATTAAACCATTTGACCCAAAATGAGTTAATTTCTTACCACCACCTAGATGAAAACACTATTTTTGCTAGGTAGATTTTAAAAGTATAAAAGTATAAGCTTTTATGTTATTAGAATTATTAATTTATTAAGTATGGATTAAAAATAGAACTTAATGACGAGAAGAAACAAAAATGACTTAAATATATGATTCAATAAACATGAATGCAGGTCTTCCAAAAATAAAAATAAACATGAATGCAAGTGAATAACTTAAATGTTGGATTTAATGAGAGATAATTTAATGAATTGAATATCTTTAAATTTCCTTTTTTTAACTCATTTAATATTAAGAACCAATTATCCTATTTGTTCTCATATTTTATCAATAAATTTAAATATAGAAGGGTAAATTTTGTCATTGGAAAATTCCAGGAATTTAAAGTACTAAAAGTAGTATATATATATATATATATATATATATATATATAAATATAGATATAGATATAGATATAGATTAGTTGTCAGATGGCCGAATGGTTGATCCACGTCTGCAAGTTTCATGTGGATAAAGCTAAACACTCTAATCGGATAAGCTCCACGTGGCATATTTTCAGGCCCCAAAGCCTACATTACTTAGGTCACATTTGCTAAGATATGATACAATGTTTTAGGATCACCGGTTTTCAGTGGTACTATCAACAACCAGTCAAACAGTCAGTGGGATCAAAGTGGTTTACTTGGTAGAAAGCCTACAAAGTCATTTGACCCGATCCGGCCCGAATTCTATGCTACAAGACCCTGATTAGTTTATTCGAACCCGATGTAGCAAGGGTTTGAATGAAGATTCGGATTTGTCGGTGCGTCACGAAGCCAACAAATTCTCACTCAAGCAATAGTTAATACTTTAATAATGCTTTAATGAGCCAGGGGTGCGCAGTTTAATAAACGTGTGCACAGAGCACAGTACCTTCCTTCCTCCTCACTCACATAAATCGCTTTCTCGTTTTTATTTAATTTATTTTATTTAAAAAATAAATAGAATTAATAAAAGGTAAAACGGATAAAGAAAGCGAAATGGCTTCTCACTTGATAGCGGTATTTTAGATCTGAAAACCAGTTACAGTTCAGTAGTCAGTCTTACTCCAGTCTTTCATTCTTTCTCCTTTTAAATCCCCATTAATCATAAAATTAATCAAATTCATTAATTTAATTTAATCAAAAACCTCACAAACAAAGCTCACAGTCTCTCTCTCTCTCTTGTCTGTTTTTCTCTGGCTCGTTGGTTCTGTGTTGAACAGATGGCAATGGAGGTACCTGATTCAAATTTAGGGGAGAGAAAGGGAAATGGAGATTAAAAGGGACACAGAGGAGTACATATGGGGAAAGTGGAAGAAGAGCAAGCGCTGCATTCGACAGTTGTCGAGGGAATTCCGGAGGAAAATGTGGGGAGTCGTTGCGAGATCAAGAAATACGTTGGATTAAGATGTGTTGTCGTGGTGCTGTTCAGTATTGCAGTGTTGTTATCGGGGGTGTTTTGGTTGCCGCCGTTTTTCCGGTACGGGAAACATGGGGATCTGGATCTGGACGCGCAAATTAGAGGTGAAGTTTGAATCTACTCTTCTGGTCTAGTGGGTTGCGCGTTTTGGGTTGGTTTGGGACTCGTGTGGCTAGCGGCATTGTTTGGAACCTGCGGATCTTCTGTTGGTTTTGTGGGGTTTTGTTGGTTTGATTGATTTTAGGGCTTGTGGGTGTTAATGGTTGATATGTTGTGTTGCGTACTAGAATTTTGGTTTAAATGTTTATGAAAGGGAAATTAGGGTTGCTGGGATAGTTATTGTTGGTGGATAGCTGGATTTTGTTTGGCTGTTGTTTGTGCATTTCTAATTTTAGGTGGTTTTGACTGTATATTTGAGGGGTATTGACCTGCATTTTGAGAATGTTTGATAGATCCTATTTTTGGAATGCTTTGTTTGAAATTTGGAATGCTACTTGGTTTAGGCTCAGATTTTTAGTTTTATTTGGGTTATACAATGTATCTGATAGAATGCATATTGTTGGATAGGTCGGGGTAGAATCTTTTAGTAGCACCATTTGGGGATTACGCATTGTTTCTCATATATTTTTTTTTATCTTAATTTTTCATAAATGTTGCTCTAAGCATATTAAAGGGATGACCTAAAAAAAGCACATTTGAGGGGGATTTGAGGCTGGGGCGTGGGCTGGATTCTTGAACTTTCCATCTCGGTTACATTCTTAGAGATATTATACTTCAACTCTTTGTTTCCATCTTCATGTCTGAGAAATACTTACTTTGCGGTCCTAAATAATCTTTGGTTGCATTGACTAAACTACCTGGTCCACTATTAGTGTCCTTTGTTTTGATCAAATAAAATAACTTTAAAGGTGTACGTTGTTGGACGTGATATTTGGAAACTGAAGCTTGCTAACCTTGTGGCCTGAACAATATTAGAGATGATCATCTTAAGACTAAGGAACTATTTTATTTTGGCCCAGCATTTAGGTCAAAGGATGATTTTATATTTTAATTTTATTTTCACTTTTACCGGAATGGGTCTTTATTTCAAGATGCACTTTTGCTTTAAATATGTGTGAATTCTATAGTTGTCATCCTTAAGAAATATCTTATATTCTTCAATATGTTTCTCTTGCATCCCATGTGATGAGGTAAATGATGTAATCATGGTAAAGAAAATTTAGGATTGTTTTCTGATGAGACAAGGAATTTTCTGGATTGACAAATGAAAAGTTCTCCAAGTGAATTAAGAATTTAATGTCGTAGTGATACATGGATTTTCTTTTAGCATAAGAGTAGATCTTCTTCTATTGTTCAATATGTTGTTAAGTAGCCAACGGAAAAAAGAAGAGGAAAGTGCTTAATTTGCGATTCCTTATAACTTTGATTCACAAGTTTGGATCTTCTTCATCTTCATTGTAGATCACATTGATTAATATACCTTTTCACTGCAAAGTAGTTTTACAATTGATTAAAAGAACACTCCTTTCCACTGCAGAAATGTTTCCATTTCTTTGTTTTGGTCTTTTTTTTATCAGAAACGATAACTTTCATTAGAGATAAATTAAAACTGAAATACAGAATTCAACCCTTATTAGAAAAGGTTGATCCAATAAACATCAAACATTACAGCACTGCCCAGTAAAGTCTCTCCCTTACAGTCCCTTGTTTTGCTAGGGCATCCGCAAAACCATTTGCTGATCTCCTTACTCACTTGAAACAAACACCCACCTCCCTTGTGAATCAAAACATTTGTTTTGGTCAACTTTCCGGGATAATATTCACCTGTGGTAATCTGGTGTCTAGGATTAGAGTTGGATTTTGGGAAGATTCATGGTGGGGAGATTCTAATCTTCATTGTGGTTAATGGTGTAATCAAATATAACTTTAATGGATGCTCTGTAGGTAACCCTTAATCATCTCTGATGGGAGGACTCTTTAGAAACCATGCAGGCAACATACTTTTGAGTTTTTTCAGGCCCATTAAGTGAGGGAATTCTCTTAGAGCTTGTACTTTTGAGTTCATGGGAACCCCTCAATCTTGTTACACAAGAAGGCAAAAGATACTATGGCAATGTACATATGTAGCGACGTTGTGGGGCTTATTGGAGGAAAGGAATTCAAGAATCTTTGAAGAAAAATAAACTGGGGTTTGCCTTTTTGTTGAACTCACTACTGTAAGAATCGCTCATTGGGCCCTACTGTGTGATGAATTTAAAGGGGTAAGTATGAACAATATGCTGAGGGAATGGAAAATAATAGCTAGACAGTAGACACCAAAGCACAAAACAGCAAAGGAATGGCAAAGGGAAGGCATCGGGAAGAGGGAGTCTGAAGCTCAATTTTAATGAAATTTACTGTTATTGATAAAAATCATAACTATTTATCAAAAAAAAGTTTTCTTAGAGCTGGGAGAGTTGGGACTTGGGAGTAGTATTATTGTGGACACATAGGGCCGCAAGCAGTGTGGCTGAATCTTTGGCTAGCTAAGTATACAGGGAAAATATCTATTGGGGGGGTTATATATATGCAATGATTTAGAGTCCTTAGATATTTAGATTAGAGAAATAATAACTCCATGTTTGGTCCATATTGTTTGTGTAAAAATAAGGAGTATAACAATTAGAATAAGATTTTGCTTTGAACTTAGTTTTTCAGTGTTGATGCCAAAATTTCTTGATGTTGTGGATTCCTTTAAGAAGTTATTAGGTGCTGATTTTTAATAGCAACACCAGTTGGTGGTTCACAGAAACCTAGGTTATTTTATCATCTTTATTTTTTCTTATTTTCCAAACTTGTATTGAATTAGTTTAGTATTAGGGCTAAATCTTGCATTAAATTGGTATTGGAGTTATCTATAAAAAAATTGGTATCAAAGTTCATGGTCTATTACTATATTTTAGAAAGTGGTTGCAATTGATTGTAGGCCTAGATCTTGAAGAGACGACCACGGAGATGATCTCATACATCTTATAGAAGTTAAATATTGGGATAAACAAGATGCTTAGTTGTGCAAGAAGACTTTGTACTTGTCTAAATTGCTGGCACAATAAGATGATCTCTAATTGGTAATGCTCCAGAATATTGAAGGACGCGGTAAAAGAAAGATTGGATCTTTCAAAGAGATATCAAATAAAGTTGACATTAGAAAAACCAATCCCAAAATGTTGAGATTAAGCCTGAAGTTCCACAACAAACAAAACAACAACAATCATTTCAGATCAAGGTTGAGAGAAAAGATCAAATTTTAGAAGTTGTAGGTGAGTTATTGGGCTTGAGAGTTGCAACTGCCAAGAGAGAACTTGCTAAGTTATCCTCTACGTAACTATCCAAAAAAAAAGCTCATCGTTCTATTTGCAGGTTGCAGCCAATATATGGGGTGTCAAAACTTACCAAGCTGGTTTGATTTTGGTGGCATTAGAAAGCTTATTTGATTATCTATCCAACCCCAGATCATGTAGTTTGAATATAAATTGAGCAAGTCATGGTTGACTTTTGGACATCCAAAGAACTTGTGATGAGATTTCCATTTTTTTGGTTGTTTTAGGATTTATTTTGGTGGAAAGTTGTTTCAGAAATTGTTTCTTTATTATAACTTATTGTCAAAATTTAATGGATCAAAGGTCATTTTTTTAGAAGGCATTTTTGGAATTCTAGTCAACCTTGAATTCAGTCCATCTATAGTTCTGAGTTTGAGAGTGATGAAGATTTATTATTCCAGAGAAATAAGTCTTTTTAAGGTCTATATTGTTGTGATAAAAGAGCACAAGAATTGGAATAAAATTTTACCTTTAGCTTAGGGTTTTTTCTTTTTTTCTTTCTGTTTTGATGTTGATGCCAAGAAAACTAGTCAGTTTTGATGTCAGTTGACAAAAAATATGAGTTGGAGAGTGATTATGAGTTATAGTTTAGGGAAATTAGTTAATTTTAAGTTCCATTTTGGCGTGAGTAAACAAGGAGGATAAAAATTAGAATAATGTTTTGCCTTCATCTTAGCTTTTGGGCATTGATGCCAAATTTTCTTGATGGTGCCAAACTGCCAATTCCTTAAGGAAACCATAGGTGCTAATTCATAATAGTTACTGGGTTGCTGATTTTTTTTAGGTTAATTTCTTATTTTTCTTATTTTGCAGGCTTGTCCTGTTGCTCCTGCATCAATGCATTTTGAAGTATATGCTTGGGGGTTTCTCAAGCTTGCACTCAAAAATTGCATTAATCACCTTTTTAGGAGTAATATTAGAGTTAAAGAAGTTATTTTTCTCTCCAGAGGGTCTATTATGAAAGATGATATTATATGCCTAAAGGGTTGTAGCCCTATTTAGAATCTCAGAAGTAAGGAGATCCTAAGAAAACTGGAATGTCATGCTTTTAATTTTAGAGTGATCCCTGGCTTTGTTTCCATTCTTGTTAAGATGGGAGATGATTCTGTTGATATTCCTTCTGGCATCCATTGACAGTCCGAAATATGTAAATGGTATGCTCTAACAAATCAAACTCAAAAAATCTGTACACTTAAATGTTTTACTAAACTTGACAAGGAATAAATATTGAGAACTAGTTTCAAAAACTAGATATAAAATCATGATATAATCTTATTAATTGTGATTCTATACCCATATTCATGCAGTTGCATCTCTGTTTCCCATGTCTCGCATGTCCATGTCTGCATTGGTATCTGCATCTAGAGTCTATATGTCACAATTTAGGTGCCATGACTTTCAGATGCATAAGATCTATATCTTAAGGCGCTTTCAGAAAGGATATTTTTGTTTGGTAACAATATGCTTGGGGGATTACTTATTGGACAAACTCATCCCCAGTTCCCTACAAAACACAAATGAGAAAGTACAAGAAACAACTTAGAGCTAACCTATATTTTATATGCATAATTTCACTTTTGTTATGATCCTATCCTATGACATGGAGCCCCACAAACCAGATTTGTTCTTCAAATTCATGCCTTTGTGAAGGAGTCTCTGCAAGGCTATCGGCAGATCTAGGGATCTAATTAAATGAGCAATTTATATTGGTTGCTTAAACTTTCACTTCTCTAATCATGTGTCATTTGCAACTTGCAGATGACACAATCTTGTTCTGCGAGGGAGGAAACAGAAGGTGGGTCAGGAACCTCAAGTTAGAAGTACAACTTTTTGAACAGATCTCAAATCTAAAAGTGAATTTTGATAAAGTTGTATTGTGGGTATTAATTTGGAAGAAAAGGAGCTGTCAAAGTGTGCAAACATTTTGGGATATGAGGCATCTCAGTGGCCATTGAAATTCTTGGGTTTACCTTTGGGGGATAATCCAAAGAGGAGTGCTTTTTTGGGATCCTATCATAGAAAGGTTTGCTAAAAGACTTGCGGGCTTGCCTTGTAAGAAAGGCTATTTTTCATTAGGAGGAAGGATTACTTTAAGATCCACTTGAGCTAATCTGCTTGTTTATTACATGTTTGTATTTAAGATGCCGGAGAGTGTGGGAAGAAACTTGAAAAAGTTGATGAGTTATTTTTTGTGGGAGCCAACGGAGGAGAAAAAGGACCATAGAGTTAGATGGGAAGTGGTTACTGGTTAGTAGGAGTTTGGTGGTCTAGGCATAGGTAATTTACAAAAAGGGAATGTGGCATTATTGGGGAAGTGGCTCTAAAGACTACCTATGGGTAAAGATAAACTTTGGGCTAAGGTAGTGTTAAGCATTTATGGGCTTGTGGTGGATGGATGGGATGATGGTGTATGACTAGGGCTATAAGAGATTCCCCTTGGAATGATCCATGCTATTTTGCCTTCTTTCCTACCTTTTGTTAGATATAATCTGTGTTTTGGAAACCTTAAAAAATTCTAGGAACATGTTTTGGTGGGGAACCTCCCTTTGAAAGACAAATTTCCCTCCTTGTTTGCCCTTTCAAGGTACAAAGACGAGCCTGTCTCTACTTTCCTTGTTCCATCTAGTTTAAGAAATGGTTTTGATTGGGACTTGGGTTTGAGAAGGCCTGTAAGGGATTCAGAATTAAATTGAGTTTTGGCTTTGCTTCATATCCGTGAAGGGATTTTCTTGGATCCCTCCAAAACTAACACCGAATTTGGACCCTGTTCTCCACTGGTACCTCTTCCTGTGCCTCATTCTTTAAGGCTTTAATTCAACCCTTTGATAGTCTGGGGCATCCTTTCCTTGTAAGTGAGGTATGGAGTAAACCTATCCCTCCAAGGTTTGGAGGTTTTTGTTGGGAACTCTTCCTAGAAAGAATCAATACTTGTGATCTCCTTCAAAGAAAAAACACCTAATTGGTGCTTTTCCCCACATCGGTGTGTTCTGTACAAGGCTAATGGAGAAAATTGCTTTCACTTATTAATCTGTTGTCCCTTTGTAACCTATATTTGGGAATGGTTTTTCTCGTTGTTTGGGTGTAGGTGCCCTCCCCAACCTAATTTGCAAAGCTTGTTTGCCTCTAATTTCTTTAGTCGGCCAAAGTAATGTGGAAATGCTTAAGAGCTGCTTTGAGCTGGACCATATGGGAAGAAAGGAATTCAGGAATTTTTTCAGATAAGGAATGAAGTAGTGAGGCGATCATAGAAATCATCATGATTAGAGTGTGTTTCGACTGGTGCTACAGTAGTCCGAACCAGAAAGAGAAGAAGAAGTAGAAGAAGAGAAGAAGAAGAAGGGTCTGTCGAAATCTGATGGGTTAACCATACAGTCGACCCCCTTAATCTATATTAGACTCTAATCATCTTTACAAAGACAGAAAAGCCCTTACTTAAGTGTGGGGCAGAGTGACTCTAATAACACTGCCACATAAGCAAGCTACTTAACAAACATAAGAAGACTAAACTACCCCTATTCGGCACACTTTAACAGAGTGGTTCAATGGGTGAAATATTTGGATCTCTTTGTTGAATTCTCAACAGGTAACTTTATGAGAAACTGGAAGGAAGTGGCTGGTTCAGATTGTCATACGTCTACTACAAGCCCTTATGGTCTCCACTAGCTAATGGCTACATTAAGCTTAACTTTGATGGGAGTAGTGCAGGTATCCAAGGCCCTTCTGGAATTGGAGGTGTTTTTAGAAATGGTGGAGGCAGAATTATTGGTTTATTCTCAGGCCCAATTGGTGTAGGGGACTCTTTAAGGGCTGAGAATATGGTTGTTATGGGGGGAGTGCAAAAGGCAAAGGATATGAGATGATTATAGAAGGTGATTGAAAGCTGGTAGTGGAATGGCTGCAATAGGAAGAAGCTGGATTCTGGAATTACAATAGTGAAAGAAAGAAATTCAAGTGGCTGACATGAGATATGGATGTTAGATTTAATTGGGTTAAAAGAACTGTTAATGCCTTTGCTGATTTTCTAGCAAAACAAAGGGCGAGAAGAAGTCAACTGTTTTGGGCTCAATTGTAATCTCTTAAGTTTTTGAGGAGAGTTAAGAAAGTTTATCTCTCCTCTTTTTTGTATTCATTGTACTTGATAAAAAAAAGAAAATTGATTTAAAATGAGAAAAAACCTATAGATTTAATCCGAAAAAGCAAAGAACAAATAAAGCCATATATTTCTTATGGATAATTTTCTTATCCTTTGATACTGTGTTTGGTTGCAAAGGAAATGGAAGAAAAGAAATTATCAAAAAAAAAAAAACAAAAACGAATGTAAGAAAAGAAAATATAATTAATTTTATATAGATTTGTTGATGAGGTAACCAAAATGGAAAAGAAAGCCAAGAGAAAATAGAATGTTCAAATTTCTTTTTGATCTGCTATCCATAAAAGGTAAATGAAACTAAGGAAAACAAAGGAAACATGCGAGATAGAAAATGAGGTCCATTCTCTCTCTCTCTCTCTCTCTATATATATATATATCCATCTGTGTGTGTTACCTTTGTTTTTCTTGTATCAGAAATAGAACAAAATCCTTAGGCTTTGAGGAGAAACACAGAAAAAAGAAGAAGAAAATGATAAAAAATTAGGACTTATTTTTTCTTTTTTCCCACTCTCTCTCTCTCTTAAGTATTTTATTAATAAAAGAATTATAGGGTAATTGGAATATTGTGTTTGAGTTATTGATGACCCAGTCAGTCGTCTCAACATTAATAAATTTAAAACATTGTTTCTTTTCATGGATATGATGATTCATCATGTTTTTTATGGAATTCATTGTTATTTAGTAAACAATTATGCTATTCAATTTATATGCTTGTTGGTTGGTCTACAAAACTAGGAAACGAATCTAGAGTCTAGTTTTTTTTAGGTCAAAACAACTATGTAATACCTTGTTATCAATCCCAAAAATGAAAGTGATGGCTATTTTGAGTAAAATGTTGAAATGTAATGACCATGAGGGACATTGGGAGTAATTGTGGTTCATTGTGATCATTATTGACTAGCTTTAGTGGTTTTCCTCCTTTTGCATTTTCCTCTTGTTTGGTTGAATAGCCATTGTGTTTTCTTGTGTAGCTAAAAGCTAAGATGCGATTGGAACTCTTGCATTTGCTTTATGAAATACTTCATATGTAAGTCAGTTATCTATCAAGAGAAAAAAAAAGCTTTATATGTAACTATCTTATTTTTATTGGAAGAAAGTTAACTGTTGTTGTGTTTGATTCTACATTCTTGACACCTTTTGATTCAGAGATAAAATTATTAGGGATCAAATATGTTTATGCTTTCATATTTGCAATCAACATTTTGTAATTTCTAAATCCAATCATACTTTGACTGACAAGGTTTGGTTTTCCAGACCATGATGTAGTTGCATCGTTTAAGTTGGAAAAATCAGTGTCTCTGCTAAATGCTAATATTCTGGAGCTTGAGCATAACATTATCGACGAAATAGGTGTTGCCGACTCTAAGGTAGACAAGTTCCTACTTTCTTCCTTCGTAGTCCAGTTTCCATGTTTCCTACTCTGATCTAACATGTTGACCAAAACCAGGTGGTTGTTATATCTTTAAAATCTTTGGCTGGGTCAAACTCAACAGATGTGGTGTTTGCAGTGGTGCCCTACTTGGAAAATTTGAATATATCTTCACCTGCTCTCAGTTTACTCAGATCTGTTTTTGAAGAATTGGTCATTGATCAAACACCTCTCCATTTGAATTCATCATTGTTTGGTGATCCATTTTCCTTTGAGGTGCTAAAATTTCAAGGAGGAATTACAGTTACCCCACAGCAGAATGCGTTTCTATTGCAGAGAGTTCAGATATTTTTCAATTTCACCTTAAACTTCTCTATTGATCAAATACAGGAATATTTCATTGAGTTAAAGAAACAGCTGAAGTCAGGGTTGCATCTTACTTCACATGAGGTTTGCCATTTTATCAATTTCATGTGATTCTATTTGTGCTTATGTTTGCCTCCCTCTCTCCCTGGTAGTTGAATGAGGGTGGGGGGAGAGTATTTCTGTTTTAATCCATGTTTTTTCTGTTTACCAAAAGCAATCTCCCTTGTAGCTAGGAAAATATGATCTCCCATTCTTGTTCAGTGAATTCTGGCCACAGTTATAGAAGCACCAAAAGAAAAATGCAGATGCCAAACTAAGAGAAGTCTAGTGAAGACTTTTAGTTGAACAGTTAACAGTGGACCATGAAGACCCAAATAGAGGTTTATTTTATTCTCTAATTAACTGGATTTCAGTGCAAAGGCCTGATCATACAGTCGTCAGAAAAAAAAAAGCAATCATGCCTTGAATCTCTATAGCTGGCTGTTTCTGATTTAGTGGTGTTGATTCAACCATGTGGGTTTGCAATTTTCACAACACCATTGATGTAGGTCTCTGCGTACCTAGACAAAGTAGAGATTTAATGTGAACTGATGGGCCCCTTTCTTTTTAATACCTTCTTCACCTAGTGTAACTTTTTGACAGCCCTACCTGCTCCAAATTATACATATTTCCTTGGACAGTGGACTGGGAGGATCACATTTTGGGTTCAGCCCATACAGCAGCTCTTCCTAAGCCCATTTCTGATCATTTTCACTTTTTGGTTTCTCAGTTGTTAGTTGGTGATAGACCTCCATTTTGTTTTGAGAATATGTGGTTGTCTCATCTCAGATTTGTGGATAATTGTAGGTTTTGGTGGCAACAACTGGTTGTTGAAGGAAAATGTTTAGATTATGGTTAAGATGGAGGAAAGGATGTTAGGAAGATGGGAAAGATAGACGAAATGATGAAGCCTTCAAGCAGGCAATGTCAAGTTGAATCAAGGAAAGTCCCACCAACAAGATGAAGCCTGCGGTGGTTGAAGCTTGGGCTGTCCAGGTGAGCTTAGTTGGAAGACTAGTAGGAAGGGAGATGGATGCATAGAAGGTTGAAGCTTGGGCAATCATGGAATGGGGAACAAAAAAGGTTATGGGTGTGCTTCTTCTGTTCATGTTTCACAATAAGGAGCAAGGACATGGCGGACTGGGCTCTGGTTTCAGAGAAAATCTAAATCTAGACAGTTTGATCTTTGGTTGGGAAGATGGTATCTGGCAGAAAGGACAATCAGCAGTGGAAAAAGAAGTGCAGTTTGGATTGGAGTGGTTGGCATTCCTCTGCACACGTGGAGTGTGCTTACTTCCAAGAGATTACCAAGTGCTGTGATAAATTTCGTGTATTTGATAACAGGAATCAGACTTGGGATAAGTTGGACTCGGGAAAGATCTTGGTGGAAGTGGAAGATGTATCCTGCATTTCAAGAACAATGAGACTTTGGTTTGCAGGGGAATGGTACAGCCTCAGGGTTCTTCTGGAAGTGGAGGATAGGGTAGCCTTATACTCCTGCAAGGTCGAAGCTTTGGCGCAGGAAGTGGAGGTCAATAGGGAGGCTGGGATTGCTAAGGAGTCCAAGAGTTCAACATTTGAGGAAGTCTGGTGAACAGTCATGGGGATATCGAAGTTGAAGGAGAGCAAGTAGAGATGGGCAAAAAGGAAAATTCGAAGGGGTGGGGGCAAAAATGTCCAAATGAAGACATGTGGGGGAGGTTAGGCGCTGAGTGGAGAAGCGCAAGAGTCGGTCATTGCGTTAGATTTTTTTTTTTGATCAGTACCAAGAAAGATTTTATTAATAGAGGAAAAAGATTGGGCAGCCTCGGCTACCCCATTACAAAGAAAGGCATTACAAGATAGCACAACAGTAAGTATGACTTAAGCATTACAACTGAGCCCAAAAACACAGTTCCCTGTTAACCCCTTGCCTTGCTAGTTGATCTGCAATATTATTAGCCAACCTTGGGACCCACTGAAATTCCACCTTTATATTACTTAACAATGTTCTGACATTTTTTATCTCATTCTGAAAACACCATGGGGCTTTTTCGGACTGTTTCAGGCAACTGATGATTACTTTTGAATCTCCTTCTACTATCAATTTATTGACTCCTATTTTAACAGATCTTTGTATCCCAAATGCCATAGCATTTCACTCTGCTGTTACCCCTGGGCTGAGAGGGCAGGAATATAATCCCAAAATTGCTCCACTACTATCTCTTATCACCCCTCCTATTCTAGAGGGCCCTGGATTACCCAAATTGCTTTCATCAAAATTTAGTTTAAGGAAGCCATTCACCGGTGGATCCCACGATTTTATCAGTTTCCTCTTTGAATGAGATGAAGCTGCTATTATCTTCCAGTTTTCTGGTTACATCATCATGACTAAAGTCTGAAAACAGACTTAAGGTCTTAACCCAGTGTGCAACCTTTATCATAACCCCTCTATCACAGCTTACTTCTTTTCTTTTCCTCAAAAATTCTCAGGTTTCTTTCCTCCCAAATGGGGAACAGGTTGTTGGCGGTTCAGACTAATGAAAAGGTTTCAATTACTCAAGGAGGAGCTAAAAGGATGGAATAAGGAGGTATTTGGGGAGGTGGTTTCTAGGGGCAACTAGCTTTTGTGAGGACCTTTGGTGGGGGATTCTTTGAGCTCAAAATTCCATAACTTTTACTCTTCTCTCTACAAAACGAATTTGTTTCCCTTGTGTTTCAGTTTTTGAGTCTAGTTTTAGCTTGTGATCTTTTTTTTTTGATCGATAACGTTTTAGCTTGTGATCTTGATTGTAGGAGAATCAAAATTGTTCCCATATAATGCCTCATTCAATTTACATACCATTCCTACATATTCCCCTTGAGCAACAAACCTAGGTGGTTTCTCCATACATGCTGTTGTACATATTGCATCAAATCTTGTGTTCCATGGGAGAACTAAACATATTGAAATTGATTGTCGTTTTATCTATGTGAAGACTCAGAGTGGAGATGCAGATACCCCATTTGTGAGAATTGAAGGACAATTAGTAGACTTCTGTACAAAGGCATTATATCAACCTTAGATTGACCATTTGTAGGACAATTGACCCCCAGAGGGGCTGCATTGTGTATCTTCTAGCGAGGGATCAGGTCGTTGTAGTTCTCTATAAGTTGGTAATCTGAAAGAAAATCTTAGGGAGGGAGAGAGAGAAATGGAAAAAGAGACTTCAAAGTTAGTGACAGGAGCTATATATATTGAAGCCGAACACTAGTAAAAGCCTTTTGTACACTTAACTAAGAACACAGAAAACCTATGACTTTGTTCTTGACTGAAGCTACACCATTATATTTATTGTCAAAAATCCAACTGTTCCTTTCCTTCCAAAGAGCCCATAGGGTAGCAGCTGGAAAAATCCTCCAAAGCAGTTTGCCCCTTGTATTCAAACCCTTGCGACTCCACCCTTGTAAAAGCTGAAGGATTGAAACAGGCGGACAAGAACAAAAACCAAAGCAAGACCAAACCATTTCCTAAGCTGATGAGAATTACTGCAGTGGATGAAGATATGATTAGATGATTCAGAGACCTCATTGCAAAAAGGGCACAAGATAGTAGGAAGATGTGTCCCCCTTCTGAGCAGTGAATCTGAAATTAGGCATTTATCAAGAAGAAAGATGCTTGACTCAGTTCTCATTGCTAATGAGCTTATTGACTCAAGAAGAAGAGAGGGAGTTCCTGGCTTGGTTTGTAAATTAGATATTGAAAAAGCTTATGACCATTGTCAACTGGAGATGTCTTGATTTTGTGTTGCAACAGATCAACTTTGGGCAGAAATGGAGGAATTGGATTAAAGTTTGCATAACCTCTCCTAAGTTCTCAGTCTTGATAAATGGACAATCTGCGAGGTTTTTTGACAGTCCAAGGGGTTTTAGACAGGGTGACCCCCCTCTCCCCCTTGCTATTTATTTGTGTCATGGAAATCCTTTCCCTTTCTTGCAAGAAGGCAGCAGATTCTGGTTGTTGGGAAGGCTTTGCAATTTCTCCTTGGAGGGAAAAGGCCAATACTCTCCAATTTGCAGATGATACATTATGCTTTGTTGATGCCTCTCCTGTTCAGTTGGAACTTGTACTTGGGATCTTAACATGGTTTGAGGTGGTTTCTAGGCTTAAAGTTAATTTGAACAAAAGTCAGATTATTCCAGTAGGTCAAGTTTCAAATTTAGAAGATTGCTGAGGTGATGGCTTGTCAGATAGGGTTTCTCCTTATGAGGTATTTGGGACTGCCCCTGGGGGAAAACTTGATGTGTATTTGCTACACTAGCAAGTGCACTAGCCGCACAAGTAATAGAGTGATGAATAGAGTATTGTTTCCCACGAGGACTTATGTAGCAACTACTAGTAGTATATCTTTTTTTGATGAATAATAATAAGTTTATTGATTCAGAAGCAAATTTAGAGTGAGTTCATACATCATCCCAGCGAGAGGCGCGAGTTGCAGCCCCTCCTTGAATCTTACAAGTAAACTA